TTGCTCCTGACAGCAGTGTGAACCTGCAACGAATAAACTAAAATCTGCAGCAAAGTCTCCTCCGGAGGTTCCAGGTTCTGGGGGCGCGGGGCCGTGGCGGGCGCTGGGGCTCCCGGCCCGAGGAACCTGCCGCGGTGGTGCCGCCCACCCAGGCCCAGCGCCCGGCCGCCCAGCCCGCCCCGGCCTGCGTGTCCGGGGTCCGAGCAGAAAGCAGGTGTTTGGTATCTGGAGGATTTTCCAAAACCAGAAAGCCCTAGGTGGATTTTTGCATCTAAATCCTGCAGCAGCCTCCAGCCCCCGAAGCGAGTCCGGCTAGGCTGGATGTCTGCGGGAGGCCGGGGCAGAGGGCAGAGGGCAGAGGGCAGAGGACGGGCCCAGGACTATGGACCGCGGGACCCAAACCCGAGCAAAGGGCGGGGCGCGGGGTGGGGGAGCGGAAGCCTCGGGCGGACCCTGCAGAGGCCCCGCGGGCGGGGAGGTCAGCAGATCAAAGCGCCGCTCACCGCTGCTGCGCCGGCCCCGGGCCGCGGGGGGGGGGGGTACGGGGGAGGACACCTCGCGGACCTGCCCGCCCCGCCCGGCCCTCCAGCGCCCCCGCCTCCGCTCCGGGCGGAGCGGCCTGGACCCGGTCCCCGCGCTCGCTCCGCCGGAGGGAGCCGGTCCGGACCGCAGGCCGCCGCGCCCCCGGCCGGCGTTTCCCCGGGAGCCCGGCTGCGGGTCCCGGGCCACCGCCGCCCTGACCCCGGGCCTGCGCCGCCGTCTCCGGGCAAAGCCGAGTGGTAGGCTGCGGCCCCTGAGCCACACCTCCCCCGGGACGGGCCGGCCCGGGGTTCGGTGCGGAACCCCGCTGGGGAAGGCGAGTTCTTCCCGGAGCCCCCGGCCCAGCCCGGCCCCGCGGTGCCGCTCCCATCGGAGGTTCCAAACACAGAGGCTCCGAGGTTGCTGGATTTTCACACACTTAAATTCTGCTGCATCCCCCTGACCTTTAAAGATATAAATATAAATATAATCTTTCCAGCGGGAACAGCTTTTTCTTTTGGATCTTTTGAGTAAACCTTCTCCCGCCTGAGCAGAGGGAGAGGCGCTGCGGGATGCAGCGGGAGCCTCGCGGGAAGGCCGCCGGAGAGGGAGGCCGGGGGCGGGCGGGGGCTGGGGCTCAGCAGGGCGGGCCGCCGGGATGGGGATCGGCCGCCTGCCCAGAGGCTGCCTGAGAGGAGCCTGGGGTGGCCGCGCCGCTGGGCCGATCTCAGCTCTCCTGCAGCCCCGCTCCCAGGCCCCGACCTCAGCTCTCCTGCAGCCCGGCTCCGAGTCCCAGCCTTCCTCAGTGCGCGGGCTGCACAATGCGGTGCTGAGCCCGGAGCAAACCCCAGCTCCCAGAGCTGCCCTCCCACAGCTGCACACCACCGCCACAGCTTCCCTTCTCCACAGGCCAGTGTGGCCACTTTAAAGTCCTTCAGCGCCACTGAGTCCACTGGGCCTCACGCCGACTTCTCTAGACAGAAGCACAGGCGGGCGCAGCGGTAGGGCAGCGGCCCGGGCAGCTGGGCCCGCCTGGATGTGGAACCAGATGAGCCCAAGCTGTGGCCCCTGACTGCTCTCAGCTGGCCGCAGGGCGGGGAGTGGGGAGCGGGGAGCGGGAGCGGGGACTTGGGGGTCTGAGAGCGAGGGCACTATGAAACAAAAAGGACGAATGCATTCCTCGGGGAGTTACTAAAACGTTGGCTTTGTGAGGAAAGCGGTGTATGGTGAGTGCACACTGCACACCCATTCCCAACTAAATGGGCCCAACAGAGAGGGCAGTGAGCTCCAGGTTCAATGGGGGGTTGGGATAATCACCCCACCCAGCCCCAGAGTCTGTGCCGGTGGGACCGCTGCAGTCTCAGCAGGTGGAGGAGGGGGTGGTCTCGGAGTAAGGCCTGTCTGAGGGCCCCACTGCCCTCTCCATCCTGGGGGCAGGGAGACACTCTCCCTGGAGAGCGAAGCGTGTCCTGCCCAGAAAGGGGAGCTTGAACCCCAAAGGCAACAGATGGAAGGAAAGGGGGGACAGGGATGGGGACACTGGAGGGCAGAGGCAGAAACGTGTGGCCCCTGCTGTCACATCTGGGCCCAATCCCACCTCTGAGGCTCTGTTACCTGTGGGGGGGGTGACCTGTGGAGGAGGTGGCCTGTGGGGGGGGTGATCTGTGGGGGAGGTGATCTGTGGGGGGGGGTGAACTGTGGGGGGGTGATCTGAGGGGGGGTGATCTGTGGGGGTGGTGATCTATGGGGGGGGTGGCCTGTGGGGGTGGTGATCTGTGGGGTGGTGATCTGTGGGGGGGGGTGGCCTGTGGGGGGGTGATCTGTGGGAGGGGGGTGGCCTGTGGGGGGTGGTGATCTGTGGGGGTGGTGATCTGTGGGGTGGTGATCTGTGGGGGGGGGTGGCCTGTGGGGGTGGTGATCTGTGGGGGGGGTGACCTGTGGGGGGGGGTGATCTGTGGGGGGGGTGGCCTGTGGGGGGGGTGATCTGTGGGAGGGGGGTGGCCTGTGGGGGTGGTGATCTGTGGGGGGGTGATCTGTGGGGGTGGTGATCTGTGGGGTGGTGATCTGTGGGGGTGGTGATCTGTGGGGGGGTGATCTGTGTGGGGGGGTGGTGATCTGTGGGGGTGGTGATCTGTGGGGGGGGGTGGCCTGTGGGGTGGTGATCTGTGGGGGGGGTGATCTGTGTGGGGGGGGGTGGGTGATCTGTGGGGGGGTGATCTGTGGGGGGGGGTGGCCTGTGGGGGGGGGTGATCTGTGGGGTGGTGATCTGTGGGGGTGGTGGCCTGTGGGGGGGTGGTGATCTGTGGGGTGGTGATCTGTGGGGTGGTGATCTGTGGGGGTGGTGGCCTGTGGGGGGGGTGGTGATCTGTGGGGTGGTGATCTGTGGGGGGGGGTGGCCTGTGGGGGGGTGGTGATCTGTGGGGGTGGTGATCTGTGGGGGTGGTGATCTGTGGGGGGGGTGATCTGTGGGGTGGTGATCTGTGGGGGGGGGGGATCTGTGGGGGTGGTGGCCTGTGGGGTGGTGATCTGTGGGGTGGTGATCTGTGGGGTGGTGGCCTGTGGGGGTGGTGATCTGTGTGGAGGGGTGATCTGTGGGGGGGGGGGGCCTGTAGGGGTGGTGATCTGTGGGGGTGGTGGCCTGTGGGGGGGGTGGTGATCTGTGGGGGGGGGTGGCCTGTGGGGGGGGTGGCCTGTAGGGGTGGTGATCTGTGGGGTGGTGATCTGTGGGGTGGTGATCTGTGGGGGGGTGATCTGTGGGGGTGGTGATCTGTGGGGGTGGTGATCTGTGGGGTGGTGATCTGTGGGGGGTGGTGATCTGTGGGGTGGTGATCTGTGGGGGTGGTGATCTGTGTGGGGGGTGATCTGTGGGGTGGTGATCTGTGGGGGGAGGTGATCTGTGGGGGGGGTGATCTGTGGGGGTGGTGATCTGTGGGGGGCTGGCCTGTGGGGGGATGGCCTGTAGGGGTGGTGGCCTGTGAGGGTGGTGGCCTGTGGGGGACAGTCTCAGCCTCTGGAAGCTGGACTCTGTAAAGCAGAGGTGACAGCATCCTTCTAGTGTCCCAGTGAAGACGAAAGGAGATCATTGTAGACCGTCACGTCACGGCATGCAGTAGTGTTCAGACCTCTGTCCACTTAGCCGCTGGGCTGCATTCGTATTTGCTCGGAAAGCCCTCGTCTAACGACAAACACCGGTCACTGTCGATGCTCACTCCTGTCTGCACGTTGGCACTGGCTTCTGCGAAGCACTCTCTCACTTGCCCGGGGGCTGCCAGCACTGCCAGCTCCTCCACCTCCTGGCTCTGCCCGCTGCCCCTCGGCCGCCCCTGTGCGAGGGGAGAGGAACTGGCTCTGATGATAGAATCCTGCAGCCAGCTCTCAGGGAGGCGAAGCCTTTGGAAGAAACACAACAGGGCCCCCCACGGAATTCACATTTTAAAACACCTCTTGTAGCAACGACCTGCTCATTGACACGCTTCCTGGGGATTGTCCTGTGCCCCGCCTCCTGCCCTTTCCTCACCTCCCAGCTGCCTGGGAAGCCGACTTCAAGAACCCGAAAGTGCCCCGCTTTGCATTCCCACACCTGTCTGGGGAGATAACGGGGTCTAACCCAGCTATTGACAAAGCCTGGGGCCGCCTGCCTGTTGATTCTTTCCGCTTAAAAAAGCGCTTTGAAAGTGCTTTACTGTAAATATTTGAAGCGTATGTTGGGGGGGAGGGGTCTGGACTCTCACTCCACAGCCCGGCCCAGCCTGGCTGGTTTTCCAGGGCGCTGCGGGCAGGAGAACGAACCTGGACAGCATTTTCGTGCCAGGGTCCAAGCGACCACCTCCGGACAAGCACTGCCCCGTGGGGACTGGCTCCTGCATGCCGGCTCCGGCAGGACAGGTCTCCGCGCGTGCGTCCTGGGCCCCGCAGCCGCGGGGAAGGCACACTGGCCCGCACACCGCAGCTGGGACGCGGGCACTGTCCAGAGGAGGGAAGGCGTTTACACCCGTGGAGGGTTGGCCACGGCACGGACCGCTCCGCGCCGCGGAGCCCCTGAAGCCAGGCTTGGCGACCCCGCAGGTCCTCTTTGCTCCGCAGTCACTGGGCAGAGCGGCCGGTGCAGGCAGCAGCGAGGGCTCCCCACGGAGAAGTGGGCAAACCGAGGAGGCGCCCTGCAGGCTCTGGGTGACCCGAGCCCAGAGGGGGACCAGGGGCTGTAGTCTAGGACCCCCACCCCCGCGGGGACCCAGGATCACCAGCGCCCGCCGTCCTGCTCAGCGCCCCAAGGAAAGAGAGCGGGAACCATAGAGCTTCCCAGCCCTAGTCCGGTCCCTCCCGCCGCCGTGCGGGCCCCGGGCGGTTTGGGAGCGGGCGGCGCCGGGGCGGGCGGGGCGGCGGTGACAGGTGCGCCCGGCGGCCAATGGCCAGGCCCCGCCCCGCCCGCCCGCCGCGCGCCAATCCGCGGCCGCGCTGCGCTTCAAGTGCGCGCAGGGCCGCGGGTCCCCGCCACGGCCCGCGCCTCCGCCGCCCCGCACCCGCGTGGAGTCCGTGCGAGCGCGGCCGGGGCGGGGCCCTCGCGGAGGCGGCTTCGGACATGGTCACTCTCGGCTGAGTTTGCGGCGCGACTTTGATTATTGGCAGATAATCGCCCTGACAATACGAGCCCCGGGGCTGGCCGCGCCGCGCGACGCTCCGCGAGCTGCCCACGGCCGCGCCACTCGCCACCGGCCCCGACCGCCAGCCGCCAACGCGCAGATGGAAAAATCCAAAAATTTCCGCATCGACGCGCTGCTGGCCGTGGACCCCCCGCGGGCGGCCTCCGCGCAGCCCGCGCCCCTGGCCCTGGTCACGTCGCTCGCGGCCGCGGCGGCCGCCCCCGGCGGCGGCGGGGCGAGCGGCGGGGCGAGCGGCAGCTGCAGCCCCGCGTCCTCGGAGCCGCCCGCGGCGCCCGCCGACCGGCTGCGCGCCGAGAGCCCGTCCCCGCCGCGGCTGCTCGCCGCGCACTGCGCGCTGCTGCCCAAGCCGGGCTTCCTGGGCGCGGGCGGCGGCGGGCCTGGGGGTCCCCACCACGCGCACCCCGCCGCCGCCGCCGCCGCCGCCGCCGCCGGGAGCCTGGCGCTGGGGCTGCACCCGGGCGGCGCGCAGGGCGGCGCGGGTCTCCCGGCGCAGGCGGCGCTCTACGGCCACCCGGTGTACGGCTACTCGGCGGCGGCGGCGGCGGCGGCCCTGGCGGGCCAGCACCCGGCGCTCTCCTACCCGTACCCGCAGGTGCAGGGCGCGCACCCCGCGCACCCCGTCGACCCCATCAAGCTGGGCGCAGGCACCTTCCAGCTGGATCAGTGGCTGCGCGCGTCCACCGCGGGCATGATCCTGCCCAAGATGCCGGACTTCAACTGTGAGTACCGCGCGGCCCTCGGCGGGAAGGAGGGGAAACGGGGTAGGAGGTTCCTGGCAGATGGCTCTCCTGCGCATCCATCCGCCTCCACCGGGCACCTTCCTCCTCGCTTTCTGCTCCCATGGAGCCGGGGAAGCGCCGGGAGGCCGCCCTGCTCCTCCCGGGCCAGCGAGGACGCGCGGTTGGGATGGGCGCGAATCAGGAAAATGGCCACGCGCGGGCCTTGCCTTCTTTCTCTCAACGGCTCGGTGCAGCTGGAGGTGTGAGACTCAATCTAATGATTAACTGGCGGCTAGGGGAGAAGGAAGTGGCAGGGAAGGAAGGAGCGCCCTGAGTCAGTCGGCCTGGGGGTCAGGAGCCAGGCGCTCAATGCCAGGGAAACTGACTTAATTTTGTCCCACATTCTGGGTTCTGGAGAGACCCCCAGGCCTCTGGCCCCGCCCAGGAGAGGGAAATGGGGAGCAGCAGGAGAGAAATGGGCTCCCGGACCCAAAGGCCAGAGCCCAGCCACCCCGGCCTTCCCTGGCTCTGCTGCTCCCGAAGGGCGCCAGTCAGGGGCAAAGCCCAGTAGGTGGTGGCCTGATTGAACAGAGTGGTGGTGAGTGGGCCCTGTGGGCAGGGGGTGCACCCTTTGTCAGGAACCCACCACGGGGACTCCTAGCAGCAGTGCCCACCTTTGAAGTGGGGGAGCCCTGCAGGAAGCGAACCTTCCTCTGGGAGAGAGGTGGCAGCGTGCTCACCATCTCCCGGGCGGTCCATTCCCTGCTGCCAGGGCCAGCTCTGGCTTTGCTGGCGAGAGGCAGGCTGCCCAGGAGAGTTTGGGTCTCCCTCTGTCCTGGGACCCCACCCCGAAGGCTCAGAGGAAGATGCATGAGGCTTTATGCCTCCCAGCACCCAACACCCAAACAAAGAGACCCCATTGTTTCTGTCTGAGTGGATTTGTTTAGACTGAGGAGATGCAGGCATGGTAGAGGGGAAAAGCCAAAGAGAAAACAGAAATAAACACTGGGCAGAATTCAGATTCCTCTGTTAGAAGCCATGGCTGTGACTAAACAGAGAAAAGCTAGGGCCCCAAGGGCCACAGAAGTCACAGCCCAGTGAGAAAAATCCCAGCAGGGCACTGCGTGCCCGGCCCTGCCTCAGCTCGGCTCCCGGAGGCCCGATGACCACCCACCCGGCCCTCCCGCCTGGCCGGTTGGTTACTCCAGCCTGAGCCCCCATAGGCAGAGGCCAGGCTGGCTCTCACCCCTCATTGGGGCGCTGCCACCGCTAAGACACAGCCGGTCCAGGGTCAGTCAAACCCAGTGCACGCTGCTGGGCCTGGCCATCCCCAGCACACCCCTTCTCATTATGATCTGCATCCCCCAGGGCCTGAGACGCTGTCCCCCACTGTGTGTGTGTGTGTGTGTGTGTGTGTGTGTGTGTATCTGTGTGTGTGTCTGTGTGTGTGTGTCTGTCTCTGTGTCTGTGTGTGTGTCTGTGTGTATCTGTCTCTGTGTGTCTCTGTGTGTGTGTGTCTGTGTATATCTGTGTCTGTGTGTGTGTTTCTGTGTGTGTATCTGTCTGTCTGTGTGTGTGTGTGTGTGTGTGTGTCTGTGTGTGTGTGTGTCTGTGTGTGTGTGAGGGGGGTGATGAGGAGGTGCTAGCTTCGGAGCCCAACATTGCGCAGGAAACAGATGAAAGCTCCATTCCTTTGCAACACTCTTAGCCTGCCTCTGGCTCCACATTCTGACCCAGAGGCAGCCAGCTCCGACCCAGGCAGTGTGAAGGCCAGAAAGAACTAGAACACTGAGCCCAAAGGGCCAGGGCCTAGCCCACTGGCTGGGGGCCTCGCACCCCGTCCCCTCTGGCCAGAAGGAAACCTGTTTGATTCCTTTAATTGGTCGCCTCTGCTGTCAGATGGCATTTCCCAAATGGTCCTGCGGGAGCCGTGTTTTAATTAAAGTTCTAATGTGCTGTCAGGATGGGAATTCGGCCTTGTTTAACTAAAGCGGGGGGCGTGGGCCTCCCATAAAGCAGATTGCCCGTCCCCAGGGAGCCGCTCCTTCAGCGGGCCAGCCTCCTTTCTTCTCCTTTCTTTTATTGTCTAACACTCGTCAGGCTCCTGGGAAATCAAGGGAAGTCTTGTTTTGAGGTCATAAAATTCTCTGATGTAACCGTGTGAAATTATGTAAATAAAGAGAGTCCTCCTTGAATGCAGAGAAAGCGAAGTCCCTTCTGCCCAGGCCTTCCATTTGCATAGAGAGAATGTCCTGGAAGGCCACCAGCTCCCAGCCCTGCCGGCCCTCTGTGCAGGCGGTGTGTGGAAAAAACATCTTAATGGGGGAGGACTCTGATGAAAACTGTTTGGGCCCAGGATTCAGTTTCTGCCTCGGCCTGCCTCCCTGCTCCCTGTGTACCGGGAGCCGCACGCCCGCAGGTGTGGGAAGGGGCGGGAGCCACGGGCACCTGAGCCCGAGGCCCGAGCTGCTCCCCAGCCTGGGGAGGCGGGCGCCCGGGTGAATGGCTCCCGGGGTCTGAGAGAGATGTGGTCCCCGCACCCACACCGTCCGGGTCTGCCGGGGCCTCCAGGCTGGAGGGTCCCGGCACTGAGGGGCGGGCGGCAGCCCCGGTGGGACGCGGGGTCCTCACGCCTCTCCGCCCGCAGCCCAGGCGCAGTCCAACCTGCTGGGCAAGTGCCGCCGGCCGCGCACCGCCTTCACCAGCCAGCAGCTGCTGGAGCTGGAGCACCAGTTCAAGCTCAACAAGTACCTGTCGCGGCCCAAGCGCTTCGAGGTGGCCACGTCGCTGATGCTCACGGAGACTCAGGTGAGCCCGCCGCCCGCACCGCCTCCCCTGCGCTCCGCCTCCGCCTCCGCCCGCGCCCCCGCGCCGGAGGGGCAGGACCTGCATTTATGACCCTCCCCGCTCCGAGGCGGTGGCCGGCGCGTTCAGGAAGCTCTGGTCCGGAAAGGGGGGAACGCCGGGAGCTTCCCGGGCCCGCCTGGTCCCGCCACAGGACCCCGGGGGGGCCCGGGGTAGAAAGGCGTCGGCTCCAGCCTCAGCCCCCGCCCGCCCCGCTCCTCCGGTCCGGCAGCCTGGCGGAGTGAGCCTGTCTGACCCCTGTGCCCTCAGGTGAAGATCTGGTTCCAGAACCGGCGGATGAAGTGGAAACGCAGCAAAAAGGCCAAGGAGCAGGCGGCGCAGGAGGCGGAGAAGCAGCGCGGCGGCGCGGGCGCGGGCAGGGGCGCCGAGGACCAGGGCGCCGAGGAGCCGCCGGGGGAGCAGGCCGGCCGGCGCCCGCGGGGCCTGCGGGACAGTGAGGCCGAGGAGGACGGCGAGGACGAGGACCCCTTCCCCTGCGGCAACGGCGCCGCCTCCTCCGACTGCTCCTCCGGGGCCGACTCCCCGCCGCCCCGGGCGGGCCGCCAGCCGCCGCCGCAGTAGGTCCGGCCGCCTGGCCCCGCGCCTCTGCCGCCGCCCACGGCCCGGCCGGGCGCTGGGTCTGGGCCGCGGCACCGCCTGCCCCGAGGGGCCAGCGAACGTGAACTCGGTTCTGCCCGGAGTTCGGGGGCGGGACGGCGTGTGCGGAACCGCCGGGGCCGGCGCCCCGCTCCCCGCGGCTGGAGACGGCCCGGAGCCCGGGCCCCGGGAGCGCGGAGAGGAGCAGGCTGCGGAGCCGTGCTGAGGCCCGTCACCGGGAGCCAGAGCCGCACGTCTATTTTTGTATCTGTATTTATACAAAGGCGTCTGCTGTGCATGCTAAGTTATTGCCCGCTCCGCCGTCCGCGGTGGATGTGAAATAAATTGGTTTTTTACTGGAGGCGGGAGTGTGGAGGCGGCGTCCCAGGCCTTGTCAGAACGCGGGCTCCCGCGCCCGCAATCACAGCGGAGGGTGAGGGTGGAAGCCCGGGACAGCACGGCGGGAGGCGCCCCAGGCCCCGAGCGGGAGCCTTCCGCTGCCCGGGGGGGCGGCGCCACGTTTTGTTTAAAAAAGGACCGAGGCCACGGCTCCCGTCCTCCCCGTGCCCCACCCGGGGGTGGCCGCCCGCTTCGCTTCCGGGCCCTGCGGGCCTCTCCTCGGGTCCCAGTGAAGCCCGCGGGTCCCGAAAGCGCGCTCCCGCCGCCCGCACGGGCCGGGGCGGCGACGGCCTCCCCGCTCCTGCCGCCGCCTCCGCCGCGCGGCCCGGACAACGCGGCGGACGCCGCCCTCCCTCCCTCCCTCCCTCGCCGCCTCCCGCGGTTTCCATCTCGCCCGGGTCGCGGGGCGGGTGAGGCCGCTCCGGGGGCACAGCGCGGGGCCACGCGGGAGACTGAGGTCCCGGCGGCTCCTCCGCCCGCTCCATCCGCACCCGCCCGCCGCCGGGGCGCCGCGGGCAGCTGCCGGCGCGGCCTGGCCGCCCGGGCCCAGAGGAGTCCGGGGACAGGCTGGGGGAACAGGATGGGGGGACCGGATGGGGGGATAGGGATGGGGGACAGGCTGGGGGGAGCACAGGGGTTCAGGATGGGGGGACAGGATGGGGTTTGCAGCTGGTGGGGCCGCCCAGGCCTGAGGAGGGGGCGGCGGGGAGGAGGGCGCGCCCTGGGCCAAAGCTGGTCTGCGGTGCGTGTCTCTCCTTCCACTTCCAGCGCCAGTGAGTCCGCCCGCCTGAAGCGGCTACTCCCTGCCCTGCACCGGGGTCCCCCCCACCCCCACCCACGGCGGTCCGGTCCCTGCTCCCGGCGGGAGGGGCGCTGAGGCGCCGCCCTGTGACCCCCCAACCGAACCCGCCGCCTGGCGCGGGGACTTGGCGGCGGGAAGGCCTGGCCGCTGCGCCCTGGCTCCAGCCAGCGGCCTAATCGCAGCGGAATTTATCTCGCTAATAAATTTAATGATCAATTCGTTCTTGTCACAGTTGCTCTTCCCCAAATCAATTATAGCAAATTTAAATATAATCACTGGCTGGTCCTCACGCACTCGGGCGCAGCGAACAATTCATCCGGTGGAATGAGGCAGCCAGCCCAGCGGACTGGGCCCCAGTCCCCGCCACGGCCCGTCCCCCCAGTCTCTCCAGTCCCTCCAGTCCCCCCAGACCCCCAGCCTCCCAGTCCCCCGCTCCAGGCGCGGGAGGAAATGAGAGGAGACACGGTTTCCAGCCCAGCCCAGCCTTCCCTGAGGCGCGGACCTTTGGAGTGGAGCCCCTGGAGGGTCCCAGCTGGGGCCCGAGGCACCCCGACCGACCTCCCTCCGGGACCCCAGCAAGCCCCTCCGTCGGTGCTCAGTTCCCAGAACGGGGGTCCTGCCTGTGCCACGCCCCCAGCATCAGCGAGAGGACAGAACGGAAGGACAGAGGAAAATCTGAGACAAAGAAACCAGCCCCCGGGTCCCCTGTCTGATGGGACGGATGTCCATAAAGATTGCACGCGCCTCAGCAACAGCCACAAGATCCAGTTAAAAACGGAAAGGACTGGACTAGACGCTTTCCTAAAGAAGACAGCCAGCGACCCACGGTGAGGAGGCAGACAGCACATCACTGCTCACCAGGGAACTGCCACGGCCCGCTGGCCGCTAGGACGGCTGTCAGCAAAAGGAAAACCAGAAAACATCCTCCTGAGGACCTGGGAAGCCGGACCCTGTGCACTGCTGGCAGATGGAAACAGCACAGGAGCCGCGTGCACAACGAGAGGGGGAGCAAACGAGGGAGCACAGGAGCCGGCAGGGCGGCCTGCCCGGCAGCTCAGCTGGGACTGGGAGCACTGGGCTGTCCCCGCAGCATCCCCACAGAGCCTGGAGGGAGGCACCCAGGACCTTCCCCAGGCGAGCGGACACAGCAGGATATTATCCAGCCTTCAGCCAAGCACAGTCTCCACTAAGCAAAACACACTCACCACACAGACCCCACAATTCTCCCAGACACACACACCACGCAGACCGCACAATTCTCCCAAACACACCGCACAGACCGCACAATTCTCCCAGACACACATCACACAGACCGCACAATTCTCCCAGACACACTCACCACACAGACCCCACAATTCTCCCAGACACACTCACCGCACAGACCCCACAATTCTCCCAGACACACTCACCACACAGACCGCACAATTCTCCCAAACACACGCACCACACAGACCGCACAATTCTCCCAGACACACCACACAGACCGCACAATTCTCCCAGACACACCGCACAGACCGCACAATTCTCCCAGACACACATCACACAGACCGCACAATTCTCCCAGACACACTCACCGCACAGACCCCACAATTCTCCCAGACACACGCACCACACAGACCGCACAATTCTCCCAGACACACGCACCACACAGACCCCACAATTCTCCCAAACACACATCACACACAGACCCCACAATTCTCCCAGACACACTCACCACACAGACCCCACAATTCTCCCAGACACACTCACCACACAGACCGCACAATTCTCCCAAACACACGCACCACACAGACCGCACAATTCTCCCAGACACACTCACCACACAGACCGCACAATTCTCCCAAACACACGCACCACACAGACCGCACAATTCTCCCAGACACACCTCACAGACCGCACAATTCTCCCAGACACACTCACCACACAGACTGCACAATTCTCCCAGACACACTCACCACACAGACCCCACAATTCTCCCAAACACAAGCACCACACAGACCGCACAATTCTCCCAGACACACCTCACAAACCGCACAATTCTCCCAGACACACTCACCACACAGACCCCACAATTCTCCCAGACACACTCACCACACAGACCCCACAATTCTCCCAGACACACCTCACAGACCGCACAATTCTCCCAGACACACTCACCACACAGACCCCACAATTCTCCCAGACACACCTCACACACAAACCGCACAATTCTCCCAGACACACTCACCACACAGACCCCACAATTCTCCCAGACACACCTCACAGACCGCACAATTCTCCCAGACACACTCACCACACAGACCCCACAATTCTCCCAGACACACCTCACACACAGACCCCACAATTCTCCCAGACACACCTCACACACAGACCCCACAATTCTCCCAGACACACCTCACCGCACAGACCGCACAATTCTCCCAGACACACTCACCACACAGACCGCACAATTCTCCCAGACACACTCACCACACAGACCCCACAATTCTCCCGGACACACATCACACAGACCGCACAATTCTCTCACACGCGGAATCTACAACAGTGGGTCCCTAGAAGCAGAAGGCAGATGGGTGCAGGGCTGGGAGGCAGAGGGAGGGTGACTGAGTATAGAGTTTGTTTGCAGAAGAAACAGCTGCAGAGATGCTGCCCATTTAGAGAGTCAGCAGACACTGCGGACGGTTAAGGCTTAAGGCAGCTGAAAGCAGGCAGGCCTCCTCCCTCCTCCTTCCCGGCTCTCCCTCCTCCCCTCCCTCCTTCCTGAGGGAAGGCAGCCTGGGTGGGAAAACCCCGATCACCCAGGGGCACCGGAGGGGAACCTGGCGCCGGGCCCACGCAGCATGGAGCATGGGCGCTGGACGGCGCTCCGGGTGAAGCGCCCGGCGGCGGGGCGCGCTGGGACCGGCCCTGGGGGAGCAGCCCCACCGGAGGGGAGCCCTGCCCGCAGCACAGGGCTGGGGGGTCCCCGCAGGACGCGGCTCCACCCGTGTCAGAGTCCTGCGTGCGCGGCCCCCCGCAATAAAACGAATCCCTTCGGGGCGTGACTCCGGCAGAAATGCCGCGTGGGCCGGGCCGCAGGCAAACATGTTTTCAGGTTTGGTTTTACGGTCGGATCAGAGTTTATCTGCCGCAACCAGGCGCCTCAGAAGCCCGGAGCGCAGCAGCTCTGCGGCCTCGGTTAGCGCTTTCACTTCGCAGGTCACTGCACAGCCCCGGGGGCCGGCGCAGGCGGGCGCCCGCGGGGCCGGGGCCGGGGCCGGGGCCGGGGGCCGGGGGCCGGGCCGGGTCCGCGGGGCCGGGGGGAGGCGGGCCAGGCGGGTCTCCCCTCCGCCCCCTTGACCGAGCGGCCGGGCCGCCCCCGCCGCCCGCGGCCCTGCATTCCGCCGCGCACCTGGCCGCCCGCCCAGCGCGCACGGGGGTCGGGCTCCGGGCCGCTGGCCATTGTGCGGCGCCGGCGGGACACAGGGGCCGCCGCAGGGCCGCGGGCGTTTACCCAGCTGGGCGGGAACAAAGGCGCCGGGTCCTGGCGCGGGGTCAGGCCGCGGGCACCGCGCCCCGGCCTGATGGGCGACCTGTGGGCTCCCCGCGGCTCAGCGCCGCCCCGAGGCCAGAGGCGCCGGCGCCGGCCACAGCTCCGCTGGAGTCGGAGGCGGCTGCTGGCCGGCGGTGGGGAGGTCGCTGCTCCCGTGGCCGTTAAAGACACGGAGAGAGAAGAGAAACGTGGGCCCGCGGCCCCTGCTCCCCCGGAGCCTGCCACCGAGGACCGCGCCCTTGCCTGGAGGGGACCCTACAGTCCGCAGGCCGGAGCCCTACGCAGTGAGCCCCGCTGGGCCCTGCTTGGCGTTCTGTAATATTCCACTTCACCTTCGAGTAATATTCTTTCTTCACGCATAAACGCCGTCCTCTGTGCTAGAGTAACACCTGAGAAGGAGGGAAAGCAGAGGAGTGAGGGCTCCCTGCCTCCTGTAAACCGTGGGCCCGAGGCCAGCCCTGTGACAGGAGCCGGCTATTTTTTAGTGGATAAACCCCTAACGGAAATGCAAATGGTGTATTCCTGGGTCTGCA